AGAGCATGAGGCAAACCACGTTGCCGGAACAGGCGCGATCAGGGGGTTTATATATCCATTTAGATTTGCGACGGCTCAAATTTGGATTTAGATCTGCACAATTAAAAATGTTTTACCATGTTAATATTTAATTTATTATCTTTACAAGTGCCAACAACTCCATCCATTCAATAATCCCTATGATCCCCATTAGATTTTAAAACATGAGTCTTGATCTACATAAATAAGGGAGAGAGAAAACGCTTTCGTCCACCCACTGAGCCATTCTTCGATAGTTGCTTTACTTTTCTCCAACACAGCACAAATACCCCATATTCGAGAGGGATGGTTTTATAGCATATTGCGGGGCAATCCACGTGTCTATTTTTGAGAGACCAGCATGCTTCCAGTGCAGGTCAAAGAATATAAGAGTTGAGTTCTAAAGTAAGAGTATATCATTGTTACACTTTCAAGAGAATCATAAGAACGGAGATAGACACCAGCGGATCATTCGCTCGATTGATATGGGAACAACTATGGGAGGGAATGTAGGCAGGTGGAGCGCAAAGGTCGCAATGCTGTTGCCATCTTAAGCAATATTTCAGACCATGCTTCCAGAACAACAGAATTTGCTATTCCCTCCCCAGAAGCTTGAATAGTTGCGAACTGGTAAATTCTAGTTAAATTATATGTCGACTGCTTGCCGCCGGGTCTCTGGGGATTTGAAATCTTGTTGTTTGTCGTCAAAAAGTGGTTATAATTTGGTCCTCAGAACTCGTTAACACCATCCTACTCAAGGATGTACCCGTATGGGAAAATCTGTTTTGCTCATGCTGCGGCGCTGCGCAGTATTTCTAAAGCGTTTGGGGCTGGCTTCTGGGGATTAGGAACAAGAGCTGATCGATGTTGTTATTGGAAAAAGGGGGGGAAAAGGAAACAAACAAAGCATAAGTGCAAGGACTATTAATGAATAGTTGCCCAAGCCGATCCCTGTTCCTTCATTCTCTCGTCCCACCCAACTAAGCCTGTCGCCGTGCAGATGCTCTTCTTTGTCCTGGCAGAAAACTCAACATGCGACGACTGTAGCTCGTCAAAGTCAAATTTCCATTTCATGGTTCAGCATCGCATCCGTGAGAGCCGTGCCGGCGATACTGAAGGGATCCGAGACCCCTATCCTAGAAATATCCGCCCTTGTCCATTTATAGGTCCTTCTGGAGCTGGGTCGTAGGTTGGACTTTTCTCTGACCAAATATCCTCTGCCATTTTCAGTAGCTCGCGGTCTTTCTCATCCAGCCCCTCGTACTATTTCTTAACACCGCCATCCAGGTCCTCCCAAAGTAAAACCTCTTTAAGCTCTCGCACATGGGTGCATGTACTGTAAAAGGGCCCAGGCAATGTGGAGTCCAGTCAATGCCTATCGTTGACTCGTATCCTGTATTTAACCATTGTCTTGTTGGCGATGAATGGATCGTGACTAAGCCGGCTCGCGGCTCGCTGTGGTCTTGCTCTCCTGCACCAATCCTCCTCCACCGGCTGGGCAGCGTCAGCCACAGCTTCCATGACCCTTTTTCGAAGCTTGACCTGCAAGGGTTATAGCAAAGCCATCCCCTTCTCTGCTGCCAGCCGCCCCCTCCTCCAACTTCGACACCAATTTCCTGTCTCGCAGAAATATTGTAGATTGGCATCTACCAGTTCTGCTGCGGTTGCTATTCGATTGAAGCCGACAACGACAACTCTCTCCAACGAGATCCCATCAGTCATGGACGCGAAGGTTAAACAGCAGTATCTCGCTGACTCTCCACCCACCGTGGTCAGGCTCGAGATCAAGCCTCATTTCGAGGCGCTGGATGATCAGCAGAAACGCTATGCTCACTTCATTAGCAGGTTGGTTGGTCTTCGCTCTTATATTGTCTCTTTAACTAGATTATGCTTGCGTTCTGCTGCCCGATTACTGTATTTAATGTTCCCATTGCGTACTTGTCTTGATGACCCTTCTCCCAAATATGCACAACCTGTACATTGTTCGTTTAAAACTGATGATGCAACAGGGCGGCTTTCCAAGGAACTCGGATCACTCTACGTCAAGTCTCTCCGGAATCCGAACCTATCTACGACCTGATCATCTCTCTTTACCGTGCTTGCAATGGCGATTGGAACTCCCTGGCACAGAAGACCAGCGTTAGTGCAGAAAACCTACGCTTCTTCTTGGAATACGCGGCTCAGTTCTTAGGCAATTGCGGGTCGTATAAAGGATTCGGGGATTCCAAGTTTGTTCCTAGAATACCTGCTGATGCCCTGCAAACTCTCGCCTCCGTTACTCCAGAAACAAAGGCAGCATGGGAAAAGGCAACCAAATCTGGTGGAGGGATATATGAAACTGCTACTACCAGCCTTATGCATCTGGGATATCCGGAAAACGGACACATGTCGACCTATTACCCCAATTCCCCAACCATCACGAATGAAGAGATCTCTCTGATAGCTTCTTTTTTGGAACATAAAAAGTTATTACCGGAAAATACGAGATTGCGGAAAACGGAGTCCGGGGATTTCGAACTACTGATTGCATCTGCAGATAAGTCCCCGGCGGGGACTGATCGAGATGCTGGTGATGCTTATCAATGGGAACTCGAAGGCAAACTACAAGGCAAAACTCTTCGCCTTGTCTTTGGTGACCACTCCGAGGAAATGGCCAAAATTGCGCAGAGTGTCAAACAGGCAGGCCTGAACGCTGCAAATGACATTCAGAGGAGAATGCATCAGGAATACTTTAAGTCTTTCACCACCGGCTCCCTGGAAGCATACAAGCAAAGCCAAAGAGAGTGGATCAAGGACGTGGGCCCTATGGTCGAGTCAGATCTTGGGTTTGTGGAAACATATAGAGACCCTCATGGTGTCCGTGGAGAATGGGAGGGTTTTGCGGCTATGGTATACTACTAGTCATCACGTACCAACTCTCCGATTTTAATACCGATTAACGCTAACAGCTTGCGCTAGGTCAACCAAGAGCGGACTAAGGCGTTCGGAAAACTTGTTGCGAACGCGGAGTCGATGATCCCAAAACTTCCTTGGGGCAAAGACTTTGAGAAAGATAAATTCCTCTCTCCAGATTTTACTTCACTAGAAGTTCTCTCCTTTGCCGGCAGCGGAATACCCGCTGGTATTAACATACCAAACTATGATGATATTAGACAGAACTTGGGGTATAAGAATGTGTCCCTAGGCAACGTTTTGAGGTATGTATCTTAATTGTCTGATACCTATACCAGCCTCATGAAATCTGCTAACATTACTATGTAGCGCCAAAGCGCCCAATGAACCCGTACCATTTATAAGAGAGCAGGATCTTGAAGTATTCCGAGACTACCGCGATCCTGCGTTTGAGGTCCAGGTAGATGCTATCCATCTCTCCTCTGACCCCTTTCGATCACAAAAAATAACATATATTTCTCCCAATATTGAATTGCCCTTTTTCCGTCGATAGGTCTCTCACATTTGAGGTCTTAAACAGGTCGGAATCCACGAATTACTAGGCCATGGGACCGGCAAACTACTCCAAGAGACAGCTCCTGGCGAGTTTAACTTCGATATTTCCAACCCACCAATCAGCCCCATAACACAAAAACCAATAACGACCTGGTACAAGCCAGGGCAAACTTGGAGCTCAGTCTTCGGGTCGATCGCTTCATCGTACGAAGAGTGTCGGGCGGAATGCGTGGCAATGGTTCTCGGCTGCGACTTCAAAATATTAGAGCTTTTTGGCTTTGGCAACGGAGAAGAAGATATAAATGGTAAGGCAGGCAATGTCCTGTATGCCAGCTATCTACAGATGGCCAGGGCTGGTATAGTGGCGCTTGAGTTCTGGGATCCTAAGAGCTCGAAGTGGGGGCAGGCCCACATGCAAGCGCGCTACAGCATTTTACGCACTTTCCTGGATGCCGGGAGCGATTTTGTGAGATTGGTGCATACTAAAGATGACCTTTCCGATCTTGAAATTCACCTTGACCGGTCCAAAATCTTAAGCCATGGTCGACCAGCGGTAGAGAAGTACCTACAAAAACTCCATATTTACAAGGCAACGGGAGATTTCAAAGCGGGCAAAGCGCTGTACGACGACATTACGAATGTTGATCAATGGTGGGGATCGCAAGTGCGACCGGTGGTTCTACAGAAAAAGATCCCGCGCAAAGTGTTTGTGCAAGCCAACACGGTCCTTGAGGGTGATAAGGTGGTGCTGAAGGAGTATGAACCAACATTGGAGGGTATGATTCAAAGCTATGCTGAGCGCGATGTGTGAAGCAAGTGACGGAGCCGATGGGGGCTTGCGTCGAACTTCTGCATTGGGCCGTTATTATTAATTATCATTATCCAGTTTCTCATGTTCATGTATCGTTGTTGTCTCACGATATTGTCGCGAGCAAAGCCGAAATGCAGGAAATGAAATAACCTCACTCGGGGAGAGAAAGAGGAGAATATGATAATAATAAACGCGTATCATCCCTCAGCGAGAGAAATAAAATACTCAATTTTTGCGAACAGAAATATCACAGCCACTGCAGTGAAGCAAACTAGGTGGCCCCTATTGACGACGTCGCAAGGATGAAAAGTTGCCATTATTAATATGTTGTCTGGAATTAAGAAGGCCGTTACTTGTTGGGCACGACCAATACAAGGGAATCAATGAAGGGAAGTTTCCATTGATTCATTCCACCACAGTCCACAGGGGACCAAGGATCATCTCACAACTCCCACTGCTTGCCAGCTGGCCAAGCCTGCCATTGACCAACCATCAATGAATGTTGCTCCTATTGTTTTCCAACAGTGCCCATCGCCCAATCCGGCCAAGCGTACTCACATGACCCCATCCAGCCCTAATTGACATCCCTATTGATGCCCGTTTCAACAATAGGGAACACCATCTGCGGTCTGGTCCCCATCAATAGACCTGGCGATATGGAGATCCTACTGGAGGAGCGGGACAAACTTTCTTTCTGTACGTCCCTTCTTCTTCTTCTTCTTCTTCTTCTTCTTCTTCTTCTGTTCCATTCGATGATATACACTGACACCGATGTTACCCCTCCACCGGGAAACCAAGACCTTGTTGGACCGCCCCTTGCTGAGCACTGGGGCCATTGCCCTAAAGCGGAAGAAAGACCAGTACAGTTACTGTACCTCTTTCTCCTGAAAAAAAGAAGAAGACGCCATAATTTTGCAAGGATCTGGTGACAAGGAAACAACCTGGCGGTGGCTGCAGTCAAGAGCAATCCCCAAAAGGGGGTTTTCTAGCCTCTAGCCTCGAGTTTTTTTGCTTTTACCTTTTCTTCTTCTTTTTCCCTATCCCATCTGCACGGGAGTGGATGCTTAATTCCCGAATGGCAATAATAGATAATTTCCCCACTCTGTTTTTCGCCCAGAGTTGGCATGTGGTTTATTGTTGTTGGTGGTGTGTGGATTTTTCTCGTTTGATGTTGGTTGCCCATTCAGCCGAAGCGGAGATAAATCTATTCCTTCTAACTACTCCGTGCATCTCTTATTATTATCCATCATGGCAAAAATATGGCAGCAGGGGTCAAATCGCTATTGAATAGCCCCTGTAGCTAAACTCGCCCCTGTAATCCTAGCTGCCTTTTATCTTTCTCTATTGGCGCGTTAGAGGTTGCTCGATTCTCCATTATTGTTAGGTCCTGTTTTTTTATTCCTCAGCCTCCTCTTATTGTTTGTTGCAGCATTGCGGGTTTTTCCCTTCATTTTCATGCGACCGTATTGTTGCAAACTGTTACTTATTATTATGAATGCAGATTTGATTTCGAAGCGAACCGAGCACCCCCACGATGTATCATGATTTTAGTTTGATTGTTGACTGCATGGGGCGACAGCTGCGACAGCCCTTTGCAGAGCACCGTATGATTCCCCATTATTTGGGTCTTGATATAGGGTTATGCTGTCACATCAGCAGCTATCCACGGGCCTGAAAGAATATATTCGTCATCCATTACATCTTTCTATTCTTGCATGAATACTTTCTTTCAAAACAACTACAATATTTTCGAAACGCCTTTGCCTCTCATAGATTCCCATCTTATTTTATATACAACCACGTTCTCTCGATCTTCTCCCGTGCGGTCCCCATACCTCCGAGATCCGATATCTACTTTCCTCTCATTATTGGCCTTCTACTTTACCGAAAATCAAAATGCAGCCCCCTCAGACTTCCATCAACCACCAAAGCCACAAGCTGGGCAGAGTTCGTCGCCAGCCTCAGGTCCCAAAACAGTCTTTGCTCCTCCCCAGCCGCCACCCAACATATGCGATCGCAACAGCTCGTACTTCACTCGAGGACACACTCGGAGACACAGTCGGAGACATCGTCGATGATGACAACGATGACGAAGAAAGCGCAGCCATTGTCCCTATCATAATCAAAATCGATACATCGATAAATATTGAGGGGCAGGGAAATACTATCGCCATCCCCACATCCATGGGCGCATCGACATCGGAGGAGCCTCCTGCTTCCATCTCCACTTCAAAACTGCATTCTGCATCACTGCCTGCTGGTGGGAGTTCTCCTCTACAGCAACTCCAGCAACAGCGGCAGGTCAAATCTGCACAGCTGGCGACAGCTATTATCTCCGCGCTAAAAACTTCTGGCATCATGGATGATAAAGAGACGGGCAGGCAGCGGCCTGTTGAAGTGAACGTAAGCTCTGGCATACGTATTAAAGGGGATGGGAATGCCGTGCGCGCGGGTGTTCCGAAGAGATCAGAGTTGAGCCATGTTGGAAATTCCGATTCTTCCTTCGATGAGAAAGAGGAGTTGTCGAGGCGGTGGAGGAAAAGGAGGGCTAGCTCGGTATGAACGTCCCTTACATTTTTACCCCCTTTTTTTTTTTTTTTTTTTTGTAAATACGTATAAGTGGCCTAACATATCGTTTTCCAGCAACCCATCGAAATCCTTTCAAAGAAGAGGCAAATATAACCGAAGTCACCACCATTCTGTAGATTTTATACAGATACAGCCACAACGCCATTTTTTCCAGCTGCTCGTCGAACTAACTGAAAAACGCAAAACGTTTTGTTGTCTCTCCTTTTTCGGTATCTACGAGAGATTATCCTCCAGTCCATGTCAATTCCCTGGCAAAGAAATAAGACACCCCACCGTGGATGTATGGCATGATGTATTTCCAATAGACGAACACACGGCGTTTTCTCGAGCACAGTACACCCGCCCATTCCCGCAAACCGGACCCTTATAAAACCCATTCGAAAAGCGAACCTCAGGAGGTATATTTTTGCTTCCACTTCCACCTTCATGCAGCCAAGCATTACTCCTCCCATTGGTCTTCCTCCTTGCCATTGACTGCTCCTAACAGCACGCATGCATGAATATAATAATATCTGTCATATTCTGCCATTGACGCCAACCTGATTCCTTGTTGCCATTGTGAATGGCTGTTGACACATTTTAAATTTTGGTAGTTTCTGCATTGTGTCGCGCATGTTTGTATAACACGGTACGATAAATGGATGCCTGAGCGTGGAAAAATTGCCGCTTCATTGGCCGTTATGCAAGCACGGGAAAGGGGGTTGTGGGTGTCCCGTGAGGCCAGGTTTTGCAGTTTGTTTGTTTTTTCCCACATAAGGAAAAGGAAGACGCCTACATAAAGGACTGACAAAAAAATCAATCACGATGAATGATTAGACGACATCATTTTTTTGTTGTCCTGTACTTGTACATAAAAGGAAGGATAGGCTTTAAATAGTTGAATGTATATATAACGATGATATTTTGTGAGCTAGGATGCGGAAACCTTCAAGAGAGCGTTATGAGTTCAGGTCTGTGTTATAAATGTGTACACAGATGCTATGTTGATGGCAGCGTCCCACATCCTCAATCGCCCCAAGAGAACGCCCCAGATAAAAGTTGAAAATTTTACATCTTAAAAATAGTAAGTTAAACCATCAGACTGCTCCTTAGGAGTAAATGATAAAATGAAAGCTATCATTTTGCGTGCGGACGGAATAAATTGATATGCCGGTGTCCAATACACCACTATTAGCCGACTATTGCATGGTAAAAGCTGGAAAGGAATAAATAAAAGCAGTGCTCGGAATTTTCATACATATTATACATTTCAAGATGGGGGAAAAAAAGAGGTAGAAGGGAAGCGTGGAGCGAAAATAGATGGACGTGAAAGGGGCAGTGCCAAAGAGTTTGGCAGAGAACAGGATATAACTCGGTCCAGAAGACAGTTAGTTACATTTTAAGAAAAGGAAGCCTTCACCGTACGGTAAGCACTCACTCAATCAATGGATTGACCAGATCCGATCCATTAGATCCGACCAAAATAAATCAAAAATTGTTCTATGCGTTTTGGAAATTTGAATATGGTAAACCATGAAAACAGATAAAACAAAAGGGGGACCCCAAAAAAAGGTTTCCTTCCGACTCCGATTCCGATTTTGATCATCCTTTTTGTTTTAAAGAAGGGAATAAATTATAAAATCAACGCCCCGCTGGTATGTCAATGCGATGCAGTGCCGTGGACCATGCTGGTATCCGTTTATCGCGTTCATAGAGGAGGCCGCAGTTGTGGCATAATGTCTAGATAAAACACACAAAAACACGTATAAATAGTCAGCATTTATTTTTATTTTTGAAAATGGAGCCAGCTTAAAATAAGCAGCGACAATGGAAGAGAAGGTTTGCTGCATGAAAGGCTATATTCTCAATTCTTTTTTGGCTTACCCTTGGCCCGGCTGGTCCATCTCTAACAGCCCAAACCGCCGTGCCCCAGACGGAGCAATTAGCACAGCGCCACGTTTGCCTCTCCCTGATCAGGCACCAGAAATTAGTTTCAAATCCTTAAGAAATCGTATTCTGAGAAAAGGGAAAAAGGAAACGAAAGCAACACAACGAACCAGTCACTAAGCGTTCCTCCCCCACCACCATATCCAGCTCCGGCCCCAGTATCGGGTGTGCCCCTCCCACCACCACCGGGCGTGCCACTCCTTCCCCCAAGAGGACTAAGACTCCGAAACCGACGCTTCTTCTTACTCCTCTCCCCCCTCCCCATTCCCTCATCTGGAATATCGAAATATCCACCACCGGACGAGCTCTGCTGCCTCGTCAACTCCGGCACGATCCCACTCGTTGACGAAAACCTTGCTGTCTCCCTCCGTAACCGGCGAATCTGCCTCTCCCGATCCCCCTCCCTTTTCTCAATCTCCTCCTTCGACAACGTCTCCACCTTCGGCTCCCATTCATCCCCTAGTCCGTCGGGATCATACCGCCATCCGGCCTCCTGACCATTCGCAGCCTGGTTGTCAATCTCATTTCCATACCCGCCCAGGCCGCTAATCAGCCCGCCGCTCTCACATACTTCCTTCTTCAACTTCAACACGGCTTCATAGATCCCATGCGCCACGGCGCTGACCCATTCGGGACCTAAGCCTAAATCTGCACATGTGACGCGCGCGAATTCCTCAGCCAGTCCTTGCGAGTGCAGTAGTGACCATTCGAATTTATCTGTGTAGAGTCTGTTGTGTAGATTGATGTTTAGATTCACGACGCAGCGGTAGGCGTCGTCGGGATTTAGTTCGTTATCGCCCATGGAGAGTTGCTGGGAGGATACCAGCACGTTGCCCTTTCTGGGGGCTGTATCGACTAGGGATGCTGGAGTTGCAGCGTTCGTAGCACCAGGTGTCGCAGAAACGCTTCTTGAGGAGGGTGCCCGGGGGTTTGTGATGGTCTGCTGTGAGCTTTGGAACAGAGGATGCAGTGCGACACCGGCATACTCTTCAAGCTGCTGGCGGAGCTGGCTAGAGATCGCTACGGTCATTGCTTGTGGGTTTGGTAGATCTAGATCACGCACCATAGCCGTAGCGAATTCTTCGGGTGTCGTGAGTGCTTCGTGTAGATTCCAGAGAAAAGTATCTTTAATTCGATATGGGGGGGCTGGCTCTGGTTTGCGGTAGGCTGGAGAGGCAGGGTTGATACCCAGTTCCAGATAGTTTCGCGGCAATGGAAACGGTTCTGCCGGTTGATGTGGG